GTAACACCTTGGGGGGGGAGATTACACTAGGATGGGCCCCATGCCTGCTGCAGCTATTAGAGAGGTGGAGGTTGAGCAAAACACTACTATAGGGCAAGGTGTGGAGTGAAATCTGCCATGGCCTCCAAGCCTCAAAATTGATAGAACCAATATCCTAGGACAAGGATGGGAATTGTCCAACCTGCAGACTAGATCTGGCCTCTCAAGGCTCCTGGCATGGCCTCCAGAGCCCACAGAAGTGTCCCAGAAAAGCCCTAAAATTGGCAATGCTTCCAGGGCATGCAAATTCCCATGTGGCCCTCCTAAACCAGATACCGATCACAAGGCACAAGAGAATTTGTAAAAGCTCCTTGGTCTCCCTCAGAACTTTAAATAGATCAATGGAGGTCAGAGTACCATTTTGTCTTTTGCCTCAAGCAGCACAATATCTTGGGCCTTTTTTTCTTGCTCAGATGCTACATTTGCACTGTGAGAGGACTATTGATGAGCTGTCTTAGAAAGAAAAAAGTAAAATAATTATCACCCTCCCCACCCTTGGAACTTGCTCTAACCTCTGTGTGCACTTTCTTTCAGGGGCTAGAGAGAAGGACTCCTGTTTATTTTTCTGCTTACTCCATCCCCTTTTGTGTGTGTGTTTGTGAGGTGCATAAAGGAGAAGAGGTCGCTTGTGCACGCAGGATAAAGGAGCATTATGAATTGCAAAGTGTTTGCTTTGTGGCAGAAAGCACAGCCAGCAAGTGGCAGTGGAGGTAAACCAGGAACATAATGTGTGCATTTTTAATGAAAGCTGAGCTAACAGTCTGCATAAAAGCCTCTTGCCTACCTGTGGCAAGCAGTATTCATTTGGGAGAGTACCATGCACAAGATATTTCGTAGCGCTGTGCTGACTGCTCTTTAGGGTTTTTTTAAAAAAATAAATTTAATTGTTTCTATCAATGTGATATTCCTGAGACAAGCACTTCCAAGAGAGATTAGAAATGAACTTAAGGAGATTAAAAGCTTCTCTTGCTACAAACAATGTTGCATATGGGAAATCCACTTTTTATGTCAATTTCAGCAGAACACTTAAAAATAAAAATAAAAATATT